TAGCAAAAAAGAATGGCTATTAAAAAAATGAATTCACGGTCAAACAAATCACGAGTGTATTGAAATTTTTCTCACTACTTTCATAGTTTTGCTACCCAAAACTGCTAAACCAGATTCAGACGCTTAAACAGTGCAAATCTTGAGCAAAGTCTAATTACGATGCTTGAACGCGCGAGAAATTCCAAAAACGGATCACCAACATAGTAAGTGTTACCTCACAGTGTGGAACATGGAGTGTTTGGTGGATTTTTGCGTCACAAAATGGATCAAAGATGAACCTAACCTAGTTTATAAAATGAAGCTCACAGCTCCAATTCGGCTCCATTGTCCGGATTTGTCGCTGCAGTTTGAGAGAGCCTGAGGTATTTATTTGCCTGCGTCCTCTTGTCGACAAACGCATATCAACAGCTGAAATGTGCATACTAAAGGTTACTTGAATATAAGATATATCATTAAGTAAAAAAAGATTCTGTATTGGTGGTTGATTTATGCTCCCTGGCAAAACTGAACCGGAAACCATCGTTCGTTTTATTCAACAATAGGCATGTCCAAAAGCGACCACTTATAACTGGCGTAGCAAATCCTGAACAGGATGCTAAAACAACAAGGTAGTGGGCCAAAATAGCGAGCAAGAATTGCTATCCCGGAATTAAGTGCATCAGTGACCACCTCAAGATGGCATCAAAGTAGTTATAATCAGCATTTGTATTTTGTGGTTTTCTGTCGTTATATATCTAATGTTTTTACGTCCTCTGAGATTACCTGTAGATCATATCCAGGTCTTGGGCTGTATGAAACTTTCCATACCATCAGATCAGTTTGTGTGAGTTGTCCTCACAATTTGCATTGCGTTAGCAATCAGTGCGCCGTTTTGGTTGTCACTTCACTTGCTTTCTCCATATCATGTCTTTTGAAACAAAATGGCATTATTGTTCTGTGATTCACAATCACTTGATGGTTTGTAAACACTAGCTTCCTGAAGTTTTTTTCGACAAAGTAACAGATGCTGCGTTTCAGAACAGTCAGATATAAAAAGATGAATGGTTATTCTTCCACTTGGAACAGCTCGTCAGCCTTTTCATTAGTTTTGAAGAAAAACGTTTCAAGTTTGTGGTATCCAATGCGTAGAGGTACAATGCAGGTGGCGTGCTTTTCAGCTGCGTTCATAAAATTCGCGAAGTCACTATACCGGTGATGTAAACTGAGCAATAACTACCATGCTAGAGGATTGTATACAAAAGTGAAACCGAGGAAAAAGGGCACTGTAAGGCTCATTCCCGTAAAAACACCGCGATTTGCAAGGTTTCTTGTTAAACAACGCCACATGGCTCATAATTAGGGAGTAACTAAATAGGAACGCTTCAGAATTTCGCATTTTTAAGGCTTTATACGAAAATGTAAAGCTTTTTAGAGTGATATGATGTGTTTTCTTTGTTGGATGGCATTCGACAGTGATCAACAGAAGAATGTTCAGAAAACGCAGCAAGGTACTTGATTCTGCTTAATTGCGGTTACCTTTACCACACTTGGAGTAGATGCATTCAAGAAGATGGTAACATCATAAACGGACAACAGCTTGTCATCGACAAGTTTTTTTGTTTTTCAGGAACCCACGCCAAGTAGTTAAAGCAAACATATTTAATCAGCCACAGGAAAAATTTTATTGCTTAATTCAGTGTCGGCAAACAGACAGAGCAAAGCTCAAAGAAAGCCACAAATTAATACAGTTACATTACTTACTAGAGAGGCAAGAAAAGATTTCACCTACATGGAACACGGTAATTTTCATCTGAGTATTACACAACATAAAGTACGTGTGAAGATTCAGAGTGAAAACTGTTGAACACTAAAAGTGATGTGGAGTAATAAAAAGAATGTCCCACATATAAATACACACAATAGTTCTTCAATCTTAAGCATACAGTCTTACAGAGATGTTTGACAAATCCGCGGACCGGTCTTACGCGCCTTTCGGTTTTCACCACAGAAAACCAAGCCTGGGAATTCTTTGTACTGGAAATTGCGTCCTCATAATTTAAACGTTTGGAAAGAATCCAGGAGAAAAACAAACTATGTACAGTAGAATCTCGGCAACTTGACTAGCATGGTTTAACGAATGTGTGGTTTTGTCTGAAAAGCATCATATTTGAAGGAAACTAAACGGCAAACTGCGCTGCCGTTTCAGTACCACCATATTCCTCACTTTGTCCATGTGCCATCGTCCTTTGATCTGTAGGTGGTGGTGGATTGCTTGAAGCTGTGGTGGGAGTGTTGCGGTTTCTGCTAGTTGAGCTTGACCCGTGATTGTTGTTATGCATGAAGTGTGTGACCAAGTCCACTGGAAGTGGAAAAATAATGGTTGAATTCTTCTCCGCTGAAATTGTGCTCAGGGTCTGTAGATATCGTAACTGCACAGCAAATGGAGATTCAGTAATAACGTCAGCAGCTTCTTTAAGAGCCCTTGAAGCCTTCCATTCTCCCTCGGCCGCAATCACCTGTAATGAGAAAACATGATTTGTTTAGGATTATAGATTAATTGTATTAGATTAGTATATATCGTGTTATGTACATGTTGTGCTTAGTATATGCAAGCACAATTTAGTTGATTATTTTAGATATAAAAGATGCAGCATACACTCGTATCATTCCTTGCCTAAATGTACTAATGTAAAAATTTTTGACAGATCGTGTAAAACCAGGGACAGTTCGCGAAGTCAGTAACTTTTCAAATCTGGGCCAACATCGCTTTCATTTTGAAGCTTTTTCCGTTTGCTTTGTCACGAGTGGTCACTTATTCACCCTTGTTGGAGCTCATCACCAGAGTATATAACTTTGTTGGTATACACGATTTCTGACTGGTGGGAAAACCAAGATGGTTGCTGAACAAGCGCACCAGAACAGAAGGGAAACGCGTAAAAGCAGAGTGGTGTGTACATAACTATTTTTTAGACTGGAACATGCACCACAAATATTGGAGAACGCGTATGAGGAATAGGAGCTTCTATATTCTTACTAAATTCTGTGGATGGGATGGTTGTAGCTCCACCTCAGGTGGTCTTTAGGTAGTATGGCATCACTAGGCAATAAGGCCCCTGTTATGGTCGTTTTTTCGAAAACAACTGCTAAACAGGGAACATCAATAATTCGTCATAATTATATGATGGCATACAATGCCTTATGCAACTCAAACTCCAATAAGTTTTAGTGATTTAAGACTCTGTGGTGAAACCTCAAACAATATGAATTCTGCATTGTGTGTTATTAAAAATGTAAAGTAGTAAGTTCAGAGGCAGTTTCTTTAGTTTTGTGGAGCTATAAATGGACTACCTTCCAGCCTGTGCCAATACTGCTCATCAATTCAAGCGTTTGTTGCATGAGTGTTGCATGAGCTACACAGAAAGAGCACCACTTGTTTCGATGTTTCGTCAAAATACAGCTGTCCTGTAGGTAAACATCCAACGAGCAGTATAGCTATCTCAGCCTTACTGGTGCGCACTTGCGAAGCTCCGGAGAATATCGGACCCGCAACCTGCCGGCTAGCAGGCTAGACACGCCAGTGTGTGATTTGCAGTGTGTTTGGGGCACACTCAAACAGACTAAAGTAAACTCATTCTTCAGTCATGGAGGCACAACGAGATAGATTGGCTTCAAATACACCCCTTAAATTCCTATCAGATTTCCCAACTCATCTCGCCCAATTAGCAGACCTTTATTTATATCACTAGGATTTAAGCCACTGTAAGAGTAACCCTTCTAAAGAAAATGGTGTACTCAGTACAATTGGGGATAACTGCTTGAAGCATTATAATCACGGAACCTACTTTGATACATGCTAAACTAGTCATTCAATCCGAACATCTTGCGCATAGATTTGCTTACCTTTGCTCGCGCTTCGCGGGCTGCTTCGGCCTCGGCTGCCATAGCGCGCTGCAATTGTACAGGCAGACGCACATCTTTCCTGACAAAGAAGATAGAAGAAGCAGCTGTTTTATACATAAATTTGTAGATAACAAAATGATATGTCGCAAAATGACCATCAGCCATGTTTTGCTGTCATCAATCTTTGTGTGATTTGCAGAATTCGCCAGTAACTTCCAGCAGCTGTTGACAATCGACAAAGTTTTGGTTTTGTAATCACAGATAAAAATTCAGTAGTATTGTAAACCATCCACATTCGGAAGACTGTAATCCACTATTTCAAAATGCAGACAATTTGGCATTTGCAAACTTTATACTGCTCTTGAATTTAAAGCTTTCTCCTCATTAAACTGGTCCGCGTCTATCAACAAACTTCCTCACTGATGACATCTTGCCCAATCATCTTTGATAATTTATTATTTTGATAAGCTTTCAAAGCTTCCTTTTTACAGCAAACGTGGTGCATGACAGCACGTATCAGATATTGAGAAGTGCCCCGTAATTAGGTGATATTTTATTACGCCGCTTGGAATCTCAGAGACTTGTGCAATAATAAGAGCATTTGAAACTGTGCACTGATAGATCAAACTAACGACCCCTGAACCTATTTCCCATGCCTCAGGGATGCTTCATTTTCTCCAACCGGAAATTCGGTATATCAAAAAGTGTTGCCATTTATAAATGGAAAAAATAAATTATTTATCGGTTTTTAATTTTGGTGCTTTTAGCCGCGTAATTTTCATCCACCTTTTTAGCTGGCATCTCCACATGCATTTGAAGGCCTTTCCGCAACGACCAACCAACAGTTATTGAACTGCTCGTGGATCGCTGCTAGTAATTTTTATATCCTTTTGTTGCTAACGTCAGGCCATTTGCGTTGCTAAAGTCATAATAACAAAGTAATGGACGACTGACACAAAATTTACTTGTTAGTTTGGCAAAAATAATAGGTAAAAAAGGAAATACTGGTTAAGCTCCATTGTCAATGCATTTCCAATTGTTGTTGAGTGTAACGTATACGACGAAATGTCTGAATTCAAGCGAACTGTCAATGTATTCGTCTTTTTTATGGCCCACACTTGTGCTGGCGAATGCTGTTCGCGAGTGGCGTTTTATTGCTTTGGCCTAACAGACAGTGAGGGACCACACAAGTCAGCCAGCGTCTGTCGCGTAATACTTAACAAGTGCTTCACACTATACTGGTTCTTCGGAGACCCAGTGTCCTCTCAGTAATTCCCCAATACGGCTAAGTAATAGTCGACATATTGGCCTAATACCGTCTATTTCGTTTTGATGTCTTTCATATTAACGTGATAAATTCAAGAAAAGTATAGCTTAAAAAGTTTTCTTATTATTGAAAGCAACCTTCGAGGATTCAGTGACCTCACGGATGCCGAATTCGGTATATTTGTGACTCCAGGTTCGTTGGCTGACAATCAGAAACTGCGCATTTAGTCCACAAAAGTGTAACGAAAAATGATCGGAAAATTTAGACTTTTGCCATAAACCATGATTTTTTGCAGTATTTTCTTTGCAAAGCGCCTTATCTGGACAACGGAGCTTGTGAATAAATTGTGGAACCACTAATTTTTGTCAGTCATTAGACGCAATTTATTGTGCCAAATATTGGTCTCCATTCCTTCCCAAAAGTGGTTGGCTGATAGAAATGTCAAGTCGGAAAAATCTAATTTAACTTAACTAATAAGCTTCAGATTCTTATGTTCACTAATTCCAACGCCGACCTGATGTGCCACAACGTAAAACCTTATAGACCGTCCAAGCACATGAAACATCAAAATGCTTCAACGTTTTGTTTGTCGTTTTTTAATTTGAAAGTTGAAACCCTAAAAATATTTCCGCAGCTTCATTTTTTCTTAAGTCTGAGTCCAAGCACATGAAACATCAAAATGCTTCGACGTTTTGTTTGTCGTTTTTTAATTTGAAGGTTGAAACCCTAAAAATATTTCCACAGCTTCATTTTTTCTTAAGTCTGTTTTGCTTTAAGATATCCGGAATCAATTTAGAGAATAATACTCACCAAATCAGAAGTTGAAAATTCACCCAGAAGAACGTGCAGGGTAAATGTTCAATGCGTTACACCCATGTTTCCACGCATTCCGGCCACCATCAAGGTAACAACTAGCACAATTTTTACTCTGCGTTTGGTGCACATGTTTGGTGCATGTGATGTACTTGTCCCGACACTCACGCACTGGGAGCTAACGAGTCTGACTGAGCAGACAGTGCAACCATGTGGTCCTCTTATTTGCTGCCTCCTAAACACGACCCAAACTGTAACGACTGTTTTTGACATGAAAGCGACATCACAAAGGAACCACTTCACTGTGTCCAGTCATCTCTGCTTCTAAGAGGCAAATTATACTAACACTTTTGTTCGTTATCCAAAGACTGGTTGGTTGTACGAGCATGGTATGCGTTGTATATAATAAAAGCTATTTTTTCCGGCAAAAGGACAGGATTACAGTCAAATTATCTGTTCAAGAGGTTTACCTTTTAGCGTTTTCTTTAGGCTTCCAATTAAAAACTAACCCATACATTGACTACCTACAAAATGGAACTAGTACAACACCTTCTACAGAAGAATAATAAAGGTCGAATGCTACGGAATTTTGACCTTAGATACCTTGGATGAACATTGATGAGGTGATGGTAATTCACCCTAATCTAGACTATTTGTGCGCGCTTATGAAGTGGACATCCACGCCTTTGGAGTTTTATTGCAAACGAATTCAATGAGATAAACAACCACTACTGGGTGCATATCTGCAGGAGAGTTAAGTATCGAGCCTTGCATTTGGTGAGCCTCTGCATGTTCCTGCACCAGTTATGATTTAGAAATTGGACGACCGCAAACTGTGCGTACACATCTAACGACCGTTATCAGTGCTGTCAATCTCCTTGAATAGTATGCAGAAGAATGTTTACTCTAAATGCATCAAAGACGTCCTATTCATGAAAAACGTACTCTTCCAAAATGAAAGTTATGGAGAATCTCTTAGTTTTGCCCATGTAAACTGTTGATCGGTATTACGTACACTGCTGTAGATGCACTTTGAGCTGATCAATTGATCATGTTGAGAAAACGCGTCAGGCTTACTAAATTAAACAGAATTTAGTGACTTGGAGCACGTCTGTCATTTGGGGTTTGAAATACAATTTGCCGTCTTCAACCTGAAGAATATTTTGAGGGTGCTTTTAAAACTATGCGCATATAGGACCAAAAAACCAAAACCCTAAGATTTGCCTACAAAACGTAAGCCTAGAAATGAATAGTAACAAACGTAGCAACAACGTAATTGCAGTAATTACAGAAACAATAACAACAACAATAATAACAAATTTAGTAAAAGATATGGCTGCTATACATTTCGGTATTCTAAGGCTCACTCCATGAAATTGGTCCAATGCTACCAAAAGTCTCGGCTAAAACAGGTATCTTCAGGTTGCCCTGATGTTACGTCTGCAACACTGCAGATATTTGCCCAGATGCAAGTTTTACTGAGTTTTCTTCTTGAGGCCCTTTTTTTGGATTTGTCCACAAAACCGGCAACTTATACAGTGCCCAATTAAATTATCTGAGGAAAGAGTTTTTCTACCAGTTGCGGTCTGCGCAACTGAGGCCATAATTACATGTCTCTCTCTGGGGGTCTCACCGCCGACTGTCACGCCTGAGCAGACGCAATTCAAGACCTTCAGAACCTGTTCATTTGAGCAACGTTCACGGAGCCTTAGAAAATCTAATCCTCCAAATCAAACGTTATCCCTTTCCAATATGTCAACGTCTCTTCTAAAAATAACGCAAAAAATCAGTAACTCATAATCCAGTGATGATCATCGCTTATGAAAACCCCACTTTTGATTGGCTCAGATTCTTCCGTATGTACATGACAAAGTGGTGCCAAAAAGGGTTGCTTTGCTGGAATGAATTTTCCCAATCAACTTGTGTCGATCACAATTAATCAGGGTTACAAGCACCTGGAGGTGGTGAAAATTTGAGTAAACGCCTCCCCACATTGGAAGACTAACTAAAGCTGAGGTTTCCATTAGTTTAAAGCCAGCTCGGGATCCCCAATTCATAGGAAATTGGCTTGCTTCTATTGCAAAGTTATATGTATTCTCATTTTAAAAGATTGCCTACGACTTTTGGTCAGAAACTTCCCTTTCACAGTTCACATGATTCACCGAATTCGCACCAGACATGTCATTAAGTAGTGATTATGGATGTGAGACAGTTTGATTTTTATCTAATATTTTGCTCCATTGAGCTTTTTCTATACGTGTCTGGACTGGAGAGTCTAGCTTTAGTAAGATGGTATTGTGCCCGATGGTAGCGTGAACAATAAAAAAATATGTATTGTTGTCTGACGCATTTTTTCTGTCGTTCCAACTACATAGTATTTCTTCCCATGGGTGTGTGCCTATTTTAAGGCGCCATGTTCTTCTGTCACTACTCCACTGATTTTGACACTATGAAAAGTCACTAATATACTTTTTATACTGAACTACAAGTACCGCAGTTTTTTATGCGATTCCTGACCGAAAAAAGTTAGCACCGTGGCACTTTTCCACTGAATTTCAATGCTTCTCATTGGGATTGCCATGTACTTTTATATAAGTTAGACAAACACCACGTTGACGAAATAATTTACAAGATGGACAAAAATATCATTGAAACTTACACCTCAACGCGCTCCACTTTAACTCCCCAGGGATCCGTTGCTTCGTCAAGCATAGTCTAAGTAAAGGACAGGTAGAATATCAAAATTAGACAACTCATGGTAATCGTAACTTGGGGGAAGGGGCTTAGCGCAATATTTCAGCAAAATGCTCAGTGGTGCTTGTCCTGGACTAATACTTTTTATCCGCAGCTTAAGATCCTCGGTAGATTTGTGGATTATCGGACGCCATGAGATGTTTTTTAATCACAGGGATAGCTATTTTGCTCCAGCAAAAGTGGTAATTATTAGATGTTATCACAGATGTTGTCCAGCAATACAAAATAGCTCTATTTGTATATGGTTTAATCACTATGTGATGTTGCCCAAGGGTTTATAATCAACAACCTAAAGCGCTATGCAGTTGACAAACACAGTAATTTTGGCCTGCCAAACTGACAAATTTCACCTATTTAATAATAGCGAAATTAAAAAGACTGCAAAATGCGATTCCGTATTCACTTGGTGTAAAAATATCTGCCCTTGGAAATTGTGCTCCGATTGGCTTGACACCGACGTTGGCTACAACCCGATCTAATATAGCGCATTGGATGGCGGCAACGGAACAACTCGAGTGTCTGTTTGTCTGCCGAAGGACATTTTGCTTAAATTGGCGCTTTCCAAACCTATCATTTATCAAGCCCCAGTGCGACTTTTCCAAAACTACTCAGTTTTCTAGGCTCACTCTTCTCGGTGACAATTTTTTCTAGATCTACAACAATACCACTGATAATGCAAGTGTTCATAAGACCACATTAGTGAAGGTTGATCTGTGTCCGGAAAGAAAACTTTAACTTGGTAAAAACTTGATAAAATCATTCTTTCAACAGCAACTAAACCAGTCAGAGTGACCGTAATCAAAGCGTCATTCGGTATTAAGTGACGCAAGGTAAGGGCGTAAGGCGAGTATATTTAGTGGTTTCCCAGTCTAAAAATCAAAATCGTGCAATCAAGATGTCCACAGTAATATGATGAGGCATATCTTCACACTGAAACTTTACCAATGAGGTAGTCAAATTTTTTTAAAAAAAATTGAACATTTTATAAACCTAATGTAAAATGTTAATTTCGAAGGTAAATTGAACTAAAAAGCCAGAAAGAGTTCATTTAAAATGGTTTCATCCAGATTCTGGTCACACAAGTTGAACTGAAACTTACATTACCAGAAAGAACTTAATAAAACTCTTACAGTGGCCGAATGTATCTTGCTAAGTCAGCAAACTTCTGATACGATAGACAGCCAGCCAAGAAGTGTCACCTTTTGCCGCATTCCAATGTAGGAATGCGCGAAAAAATACATATGGATAATATATGATTTCGCTGGTTCACCAATTCGACTCAGAATAGGGAAACGTTTGATTAGAGAATCACTCGTTTGTAGAACAAAATTTTTAAGACAATCTTGATCTAGTTTGCTTTTCTTTCTAACTTTTACTCCACTCTGTTGCCTGCAGGTGATACACGTCCAGAATAGTTCAAGAGTGATTTTGAAGTATGGCACACACACCACATTTCTTGTAATATGACGAATGATTGCATGTTTATTATCAAAAGTAATCAATCGGGTTTAGGGGGTTTCTTTGTCGTTGATGACAGGAGGTCAAATTCAAGCTGATCCTGAGCCAATCGAGTTGAAATTCAAAAGTTTAGAAACATAGAGCATGCAGTAAACAAGATATTATCTGGGTGACGTAAATGGGGCAAAACAATACTAATTATTCGCAATAAAATTGGAAAGACTGCAGTCAAATAAAATTATTTACCGCACAGATTACACAGATACCAGTGTTTACGGTGAAATAAAACAGCGGACTCCTTTTTAATGATTTTAGAACAACAACGTGAGGGTTCCTTCAGAATGAAAGCTAACGCTTGCTCAAGACTTTATGAATAAAAGCAGCTCCATCGCAATTACGGTCCAAGCAAAGTTGTTTAACGTTATTGTGTCCCAATGTGGAAACATTTTCTAAATGAAATATCTAAAATCTTAACAATGGCACCATCATTTTCAATCGCCTTCAAATTATACTTATCAACCTCTTCATAAACGCGCTGATCAAGTTCAACAAACCATACCGGCTGGAATTTCAGTATATTTCTAAAAAAAACGCACTTCTTATACACCGATGGAAAGAAGGCGTGAATATACATTCACTCATCTAAGATTTCATCGGAAAAATTTTCTATATCAATTAAAATATGCTATCAATATTATCAGGATGTCAGGTAAAAAATACTGGACGTAGGTTTATTGTCAGGTAACAGTTTTACAAATTTTATATGTGATCGCGGAGGAGGATAATATGTTTGCACGTAAGATTTGAAAGCGATCGGATAACGCAAAATGAAGCCCATTAGTGCATATAATCGCAATTTCTACTGGGTAACCAAAATTTACGGAAATTTATGGCAGTCCTCATAAATGGAGCTGCTGCGATGAAAGTAACCGCGTCAATAAAATAAGTTCACCATTTTACGTAAACACCCACTATTGGTGTACACAGCATACACACGTGCAAAAGTTTTGCTTGGTTTCCGCACTTTAGTCAGTTGGTTATTACTCTCCTATATATCACATTTTACTGCACTTTGTGTGTGGTCTCAATTCCGTTCATGCGCTTTTGTACAACGTTTTATTCGGCACATTCAACACACAAACAAGTGGAGCTGGACAAATATTACATGAAGAATAGACTTCTGATGCTTTGGAGAAGTGTGATTTTGACTAACGTGTATAGTCGCTTGATCAGAGCTTCCATGAAAAAGGAAATGCCTAATGGGGTGTTCCATAACTGAAGTAGAACAATTAGTTTGCTCGGATATTCAGCTAAAGTGAGTTTTCACAAAGACCTGTAGCACATACGTTTAGCAAACAAAGTTTATGTAATTTAAACACGCGTATGTATGAATGGCTTCGACTGTTCAGGCTACATTTTTAAAGCTGTCTTTGATTTTCGTGGGGTCGTTCTGGTGTATGATGTAGTTGTGTGAATGGCTATTAATTCAGGAAAAAGTCATTTTATATTCATATCAAGTTTTGTTGTTACAATACACGGTGCGCCAACACTGATTTTTTGGTGCATGGCTGAGATTAACTCGGGGATGTTTAACTCAATTAATTTTTGGTGAAAAATTCCGTTAATCTCAATGTTTGTCATTGAATTATTTGCCTTGATACACGTAAATGAAACTTCCGAGGTTTTCTAAACCTTTCTCATCATTTTGAGACCTTCAAAATTTTATTTCCTGCTTATTCGCACAAAAGGAGGCAATCCGTTTCACAATAAAGCATTGTTTAACACCATTGGGAATCACCACAGAATACCAGCGCGACTGTCACTAGTTTTGTTGTGCCACTCCGTTTGACGTCAGAGTTTACATAGTCTAAATTAAACAGGCCGCCACATGGACCGGAGTATTAAGCCATATGAAAAGGCGTGGCAATGACGGTATATGTCACACCAGTAGGAAACTGAAGATTCGCCTCAGTGGACACCACGTAATCTCCAGGGAGCTAAGCAACCTAGAGCGCGCCACGGAAAATGTAGTTCATACATTGGCTGACGACCACAGGTACACACATCTTACGACAAAGCATTCATGTGAATGAGCAGGGATGCGCTGCTTAATCACTAACTATTCGTATGACACCTCAGACGTCACCGGGTTACCAAAAACCTGACTCTCTTCGCTCGAACCACAGGGACGGATTAAGTGGATGTCTAAATCCCGCACATTTAAGCTCAAGGATGCCACTCATTATTGCACAGCCTAACAACCAAAATAGATTTCAAAGCACAAAACGTATATGTTTTTATTCTGACTAGTAGTAATTCACGTCAAAATTTACTGCCAATTATGGCGACCGTAGTTTTTTTTTCAATGTTCATCTCCTTATCTGCCGAAATACAACACAATAAGCTCATTATTTTCTCACATTGTATGCGTTATCATCATTGCAGCTTTTTTAAACTATTTGTCTCAAATGCGCAGTAATTTTTGAAAATGTTCATAAGTAATCATATCTGCTGAGATACGTAAAGCAAATGGAACACCTATGGCAATTCCGAAATTTAGGCAATCTGTCAAACGTTTAACTGAGACGTCCACTCGTTTATTCATGTGGGCTTTTCTTGTGTGTGCCTTGGAATCACACATAATTTTGAATAAAACGTTAATGCACTTGGTACGCTGAATTGGCCAAGACATTCATGAAGGATCTAGAGGAAAACAGATCGAAATCTGCACTCATTTGGCTGCCAGGTTTATCACGTTTCTGTGCAATGGATGGACTAAATTCCGTTATCTCTAATGCTGATGGATCAATGGTAACGTTGATTTGTATGCAAATTAGCAATCAGACGAGATTCGTCCGAATGAGCGATACGTAGCAATACACGGGAGGATTCATGACTTTTCCTAAATTGTATAAATCGCTTTTTAAGAACGTGAGGAAGATGATGTAATAGTTACAGTATTTGAGGCGTGTCACAAACCGGAGCACTCACGTGGCCACCCCAATCTACACTATTTCTGAACACCTTTGCAACAGTGATGAGAATTATAGCTTTTGTTTGATCTCGTTTTCCCCGTCATCACTAAATGTGGCTGGAACATATCCACATTTATACGGCATACTCTAACCCTCCATGTTCTGCAACACCAAAGAAACTCTTACTCCTATGTCACACTTGCTCGCTTGCATACTTTGACCCACTCGTTAAATTACCGGGGGCATTTAAACCCGCATCACAATAAATAGTATCTTTTAGACTAGACCCACTTTTCCGAACTCAAAAAGTTTCATTTGTTCGAAGAATCGGCATCTTTCGTAAGACAACTAACATGTCATACCTGCATCATGCTTGAAATTGTATCTCGTTCGGACAAAATTTCCGACAAGTTCTTCGTACCAAGCACATTACGTAGTGTGGTGGCGGCCAAAAGCCTGGTTGAGCGATCTGCATCTTCAACATTTGTAATGGACACGACGGGATTGTAAATCCTGTAGTAAACCACCGCATCAACAGCCACCGTCACCGAGTCACGTGTCAGTACCTGGAACAGCGAAAAGTGTACGATTTAGTGGTAGCCAGGGTGAGTATACAACTTCATATAGATCGATAGGTCATTGCTTCAGTGTTGATCTTGTGAAACGAAATCCTATGGACACATGGATTTATTCAATCCTTTACAGCTTATAAGAATCCATTGGTGCAACACCAACATAGATGAAAGTATCCTAGGCCAGGTTAATAGTATTTTGACACCAAAAGTCTTGCTGAACATTTAGTTTGCTAAAGACGACAAACACCGATCAACCATAAACCTAAATGAGTCAATTACCACATTTATTTTATAGGTGAGCGTAAAATCAAATCACATTACGACCAAAATACAGGAGAGTAAAACGAATACTCGCCAGCCGCACAAATTTGCTTTGAATATCACCTCCAATCAGCTTAAAACTCCGTTTAGTCGCACCTTTTTATCTTTAAGAATAAAACACATCAAAGCTTCCCAATGAAATTAATGCAAAAAGGATTTTCGAAATCAGCAGCTCTTTTGTGTTCCAAGAGGGAAATGTTGTCCAGGAAAAGTAAAGATACACCCATATAACAGTGACCTTTTGTTCGGAAACAAATAAGCGTGAACAAGAGAATCAGCACTCAATGCACTGTGTACATTACTTACGGTAACACTTGAATGCAGATAATCTGATTTGCTATGAAATGAATGAAGCAAGGTAGCGAATAAAAACTTCTAAATCATCCGTTCAAGGATATTTGATAATGCGTATTCAAAATCCGTTTGACTGGAGAATTGCGGACCTAGAGTTGCTAATTGTACATCCCTGTGATGTACGATGCAAGTACAGCAATACGTTCAGCGCAGTCAGTGTCTTCAGGTAGACTACCTTGGGATGTTTATAGAAGTGTCTACCTCAGTATGTGGTTAACAAAACTGAAGATGAAACCGGGTTGAGCACGTTCTTTTGTAGCATTATTCAAAGAGATTTTCGTTTCGTTTTCCCCATAAAAATGTTTTTTGTGGTGAAAATCTTGCAGACTTTACCAGGGTGAGTAAAAATCAGAGATAGACGTGGAGCTGGGCAAAGCATCCTTCCTGGCTGAATAAAGTTGGCACTTTTCAATAAAATCAATAAAATTCTGGAGGTTAAATCCTTGATCTGATTAAAGACCGTTTGGTTTTAGGAATGTTTTGAGAATTGCGGACCTAGAGTTGCTAATTGTACATCCCTGTGATTTACGATGCAATTACAGCAATACGTTCAGCGCAGTCAGTGTCTTCAGGTAGACTACCTTGGGATGTTTATAGAAGTGTCTACCTCAGTATGTGGTTAACAAAACTGAAGATGAAACCGGGTTGAGCACGTTCTTTTGTAGCATTATTCAAAGAGACGCAGTTTTCGTTTTCCCCATAAAAATGTTTTTTGTGGTGAAAATCTTGCAGACTTTACCAGGGTGAGTAAAAATCAGAGATAGACGTGGAGCTGGGCAAAGCATCCTTCCTGGCTGAATAAAGTTGGCACTTTTCAATAAAATCAATAAAATTCTGGAGGTTAAATCCTTGATCTTATTAAAGACCGTTTGGTTTTAGGAATGTTTTCTAGAGTGCTTATTTTCAGACATCGTCAAGAACTCCGATGAGTTTTTGCAATCTTACTTCGAATTAACTGGGTTTCTTTAGAACCCATTAGAACGGAAACATTTGAATTCTGCGACCCGTGTCGACTTAAACAAGCCTGCTGAAGCATATGTTCATAATGGATCAGATATCTTTAAACAGAAAAGACCCAGTTGCTTGATCGATTCATGTCTAATAAAGCCCGTCTGGCAACATTCCTGACTGTAAATTAAATAATTTTCATTAGTTGAGTCACATTATCGTAATACTTGAAAAACTGAAGGGTTGATATAAAGGGTTTGATTTGGGTTTCAGTCACCAAAGTGAGCCTATATAAAAGGGTTTGATTTGGGTTTCAGTCACCAACGTGAGCCTACATAAAGAAGATGTACTATCCTTGAAAAAGAGGCATGTCAATTTAGTTTTTGGACATAACGAAATAAAAAGCCATCTGAAAGGATCGACCGTACCATTTATAATGATGACAATGCAAGTGTAAAAACAAAAAAAATGCAACTACCTGGTCGCTTGAGTTGGATAATAATGTCTTCTCTGACAGTTTCCTTTGTGAATTAGACTAGGTATTAAACTAAAAGGAGTTTTCTTGACCTTGCCCTAACCCACAAGCCAGGAAGTTACTATTATGAAACAACATCCTACAGAGTTTTCTTGGGAGGAATAAGTGAGTATCATCGACTCTACCATACGACCAACTTAAATGTAAAATTTTGGATCTGCGCAAAGAAGCATGGAATAAGGTAATGAAAATCCTATCCTTCGTACCGCTGTACACTTAGAGGCATACGAAAACACTTTTGAAGTTTTGTGAGTTTTTTCATTCAGCTTGCTTGTCTGGCTGCTATTGTTGATCATTGGGCCATCAAAAGTTATGAAGTTCAAAGGTTGCCATTTCTGACGCTTCTTCTTCGAAAAGGTTCTATTGCTACTCTCATGATCACCAATAGTTTTGGTAGACTTTGATTCTTCATTGAATCGTACAATGTGTTCGCAAAAAATAACGTCAGTAAAATGAGAGTAATTATCACAACTTGAGCTACTAGTAAGGAGTCGACAGTTCTTCCGCTTAGGAGAGAACACACTTTCACACTCCACTTGCAAATAGGCACAAAACTTAACCCAGAGACAACCGGATAAATCGATTCTGTTGGCGACAAAGCCGAACCAGACTGGGATGAAAGTCATGCACTTGACTCCAATGGGTGCGAAAGGGACACTAGTTTGAATCCAGCGTTCGCCGATGAATATTTGGTTTCAAAACAACAGCCCAGGTGGCAAGAGCAAATTTGAATTTCTGCCAAACTGATGTGCACAACCTCAACTTACACTCCCTGCTCAGTATCTAAAATATATTTGATGAGGCTTCTATTCGCCTATTGTGCCTAAAAACCGTATGAGATAGCATTTATTAGTTGTATAGTTTGCTACCCGTTTGAGAGTTGTTTTCTTCAAAATAACTACAGCAAAATTTTTCCTTCCTCTTCCTCAGCAAAACAACGTAAGCTTCTAGGGATATCTTTTGCGTCATTCATCATCACCGAAAATTGCTGGATAACAGATCTATGATGACTATTGCTTTTCAAAAGGATTTGTTTCCAACTACGCCCCGAGGAATTCACTAGCCTTAATCAGTATCCTTTCCGCATTGAACATGTTCGAAAACATCAGCGTTTGAACGCATTTCCTCATTGAAAACAGTAAGCCCAACTCAAATCCCTTACAGCACTTTGAATGTTCCGAAGTTTCTCTTGCAAAGAAGCTGATAGACGGCCAACGTGATTTTGATTTTCCTTTAAGCAGAGTTTAGTAGAACAAAGCGACAGAACACACGGTGATTTTTCCACAAGAAACTATGCACACGCGCAAGCCGGCACTTCTTTTTCGGATTTCACTTTACAGTGGGAATCGTCCGCTCCTTATCTATCGAAACTAGTTTGGCTTATAAATTATGTATTGTTTTTGAGACTCACAGGAAAATTGCATTTTTATTTTCCACAACTCAACGGTTTACTTGCATTCATTTTCCTGCAAGCTAACGCCCACTTTGAAATCTGGAAGATGGAGCGGCTTCCGTTTTATTAATCGCAACACTAGCCGCATTGTCAATAGACTCATTCATTTTTTGCATACAGAAACTCCTGAGATAAACAGCAGAGATACTGCTGCATTTTGGGGAAGGGATATCGTCTCGATGCTTCATTTTTTGTAGCAAATTCAGATATAAAACAAAACTAAGCATTAAATCCGATGTTAGTCAGTAGCGCGTTTCCCATCCATCTGTTTATAAGGGTGAAAAAACAGACGTGCATAAAGACAACTAGGAAGTAAGGCATAACACGGATGAGACCTTCTTTAGTCTGTTGTGCATGGCTTTTTGATGACAAATTCCTATTTGCCAATCATTATGAAACTAAATAATGATTCTTGATGGTAATCACCGTAAAGATTTTGTTGTGGTTTTCTTTCTCGTGAATTTTTCCACCGGTAAGCTTACTTCAACGCAGAATTCTACTGAATTTCAGATGAATCTCCCGTTTACGGTACTACTCAAAAGAATATGCTGCACAAAGGCACACTGTAAATCCGAAAATTAAAGTAGTCTGCTTATTCTGCCCGCTTTGTATTTTAGCTCACAAACCTTGTAAAGGAGTGTAGTGGTTCCACTTGTCACATATTTGTTCGCCGAGGATAAGGAGAATATGGGACTAAAGGTGCGTGTTGGGTGTAATGACCATCATGCCTATGGTCGAATAACAAATCTGTTTATCCTATGTGGATGTGATAGCTACGCTACCACCATTGGCCGAGTGACACTGCTATATCTCTCAATGTCACTAGCCGTCGGTTTGTTTCGCTCCGCGGTTCCCATCCCAAGAGACAGCAGTTACATAACCTATCTCAAAGGCTGATGGTATCACAAAGAGCTGGTGCTCAGTGAAAATGGTTGAACTGACAGCATATTTTCATGAATCACATCAAGCACCCAAACTGCAATTGTTTCCTCTTTCAAGCTCTTCGAATTTGGAGAATGCTCCAGCGATGTTCTCAGCACTGAAATGTGGGTGAACAATTTCAACATAATCCGGGCTAATTAGTAGATTCCCCTCATGGTTGTGTCCGGTGTCTCTGATTGTGAACCCATGATAACTTGTGATAGAAAGCAACAAAGTTCATCCAAAATCATTTGAGACAGGACAAAATACATTCATTCTGAATGGCGATAAAATTTAGAAAAGGATATCTCTAAGGGCGGAAGACAAAACGTAGGTGAACGTTTGCGCGGGAACGCCCTCCGAAAAGATTATACAAACGCAGCCATGTCCATGTTTATGTGATGTGTCCACAAATAAATTGCATGCCTCGCTTTAACCCTCTATTCCCTCCGATAAGAT